GGAGGGAATCAAAAGAAGAAGAATACTAGAATACTTTGTGACATAAGACAATCATATGAAATTTAAATTACAGTATCCATTAATAAAGTTTTATTGGAACAAAGTCATGTCCATGTGTTCACAAATTGTTGATAGCTGCTTTTCACTATACTGTTAGTGTTGGGTGGTTGCTACAACGACCTTGTTACCCACAAAGTCTAACATATTTACCATCTGGTTCTTTCCAGAAAATGTCTGTTGCTCCCTGTTCTAGTGCATATTACACAACATCACACAACAAAAGGAAAATGGATTTTATTGGGTCACTGAACATTTCCCAGATTCCTTTTCTTGCTGAAGCACAATGTTCAAAGCTGTTGTCAATTTTGAAAGAATACTGGCCACCTAAGACACCCAGAGTGGGAATCAGGGCACTCTCAATTCTGGAAAAGGCCTACACGCTCCATCCAACCAGCAGTCTTTGCAGTAAAAGAGAGATGGACCCAAGATGGGCATATTTTACTAGGAGACTAGTCTTCAGGGGTTCGGTGATATGCCCACAAAACTGGAGTCAGTGTGAAGGACTGGATTAGTACCTTCCCAGTCCTGGCCCCTTGAAGAGAGACATTCTCCTTTCCTCCCTAGTCTTTCCAGGGCCAGCCAGAAATAAACAGTGTGTAACTGACACCTCACATTTTGTACCTTTTTCCCTTAGGCTCAGATAAAAGGTAATTGACTTCCTTTCATAGCTATATACACTTCATGGGCTGGGATTCAGCCTGTGAAATAAACTATTTTTAATTAGTTTTTTTCAATAACTGCAAGCTCTAATGGCACCAAGTAGCAGAGAGCTAGGTAATATCCCAGTTTCCAGGGACTCAGGGCAGCATATTCGGTCGTTAATTAGGCCTGCCAAACGCTGGGGATCAAAATAGGGCCTGCGCCTTTGCCAACTCCCTTAAGTGGGCACCACCAAAGGTAGGCTTATATCTGGACACCAAGGAACCTGAGGAGTTTGTCCAAATGCCAAAGCAACACGAAGACAGTACCTGGGTCTTTAACAAATTGACAAAAAGAAATAAGGCAGCACCTTTCTGCCTCCAAGATGTTCGGTCAGCTTTGTTACACTCTTCCAAGGAAATGGAATTCTCTATTTTCTCATATTTTGTGAAACTGGATACACCTGTTTTTTGTTTTTGTTTTTGTTTTAAGTGATATTACCTAAAGCTCTATGAATCCATCTTAGAATATATAAATTTGTTTTTTGATGCTTTATTTCATTGTTGTTGTTGTTGTTAAGTGCTATAGTGGCAGTTATGACTCATAGAGATCCTGTAGACTGTTTCTGAGGAGTAGCTGCTGGGTCTGAAACACCAACCTTGTGGTTACCAGTCCAGTACTTACCCTCTAGTGTCACACCAGGACTATAAACATTGGTATGTTAAAATCTCATGTATTTGTAGAGGCAAAATCTCCCAATTCTCTTCCCCATCTGTGTTCAAACTTTAAAAAAAATACCACAATTCATGGCTCATTAATTTCATTTAAAACTTTCAAAGTCATCCCAAGATATTCATGAACTACTGATTAATCTAATCCACCTGTTGAGTCATTCACGTCTCTGCTCTTTGGGCTTTCCTGCTGCATGTGGTATTGGAATTCAGGAAGTTCAGCATGGCTCCCCCCATGGCCCACCTGGGGGATAATCAAACCCCTGTCTGACCTGCTTGCCAGCAGGATGATGACAAGAGAGGAAGTGGTCTGAAGGGACAAGTGACATGCAGCACACACAGGGACAAGACATGCAAGATACAAAAGAAGCTCTAAGGGGCTCTGAGGGGCTCCAGCTTCTATGAAAAGCTTCATGTTCAGGATCTGACCTTTCGAGCGCACTCTTCCCGTAATTGCTGTCCTCTGGACCCTGATCTAAATAAATGTCATTTCAGTCATTGTTATGACATGATGTTGCACTAGACTCCACCAACAGAAAACACATGAGAGGGTGTAGAGGTAACAGAAGAGAAAGAACGAGAGACCTCCTGTCAGATGGTCCGCATGACCCGGGCAAGTTACGAAGCCACTAAAGGCCTCCACCTCTTCAGTTATCAAATGGCTAGGACATTAGCAAGTCTAGCCTCGTGGGCCACTGAGAGCCGATGTAAGAGCACCACGCATAATCCATTGATTTCAACACCAAAATGCCAGTGCCACTCAATGTCTGGTGCTTCGAAGTCATGGTTTTCAGTTCTCACAATGGCTCTACAAGTTGGTGGTTGCCAGGCCCACTTAACATCCAGCAGGTGATATGAGTACGATATCTCCGGTGTCACAGCTAAGGAGCATTTAGACCCCAGCCATGCTGGGATCCAGGGTCCACTCCTTTCCAGCACACAGCCCTACCTGTGGTCTGCAGCCCACTTTGTCTTAAAGTATGGTCATTCCAGTAGAGTCCTGTCATACTGACCTCACAGGAGGTGCTCCCCAATCCCATTTTCAGTGGTGTGACCATTCTGGGCCCTGACAAGCCGGTGCCCTTAGGGATATGGCCTCATCGTGAATAAGACAAAACCCGCAGGTGGAGGACAAGGGATTTGCTTTGCTCCTGCGAGGATGGAGGGACACAGACAGATGCGGTGGGAATGGAACCAGGTGGAGCTGCCCACCAAAAGAAAAGTGTGGCCAAAACCCAGCCCTGTCTGTGGGTGAACAGAACGCATGCCCTCCAGCCACAACTGCATTCACAGAGCTTTCTGGGATGGCTCTTACCTGGGGCTGCTCCATATGGAAACATAATCCATAGCTTGGCTCCCACAAATATGCTTATCCCACGTGCTACATATGGAAGGAGAAATCAGCCTGTGTTTCATTAAACAGTTTGGCTCAGGACTTGTGAGCAAGTATTAGAATCTGTACTTGGTACGGAGTCTTATAAATGCATCTTTAGCAAATCAGATGTTGAAAAAAAGAAAAGAAAACACTACTAAATGTTTTTTAAAAAAATAAGCAAAACTATAATCCCCTTGTTTTTTTAAAAATCTCTGTTCTATGACTTATTAAAATTCAGAATTCCATGGGGGGAAGGGGAGGGAGACCCAGACCTGAAGAAGGGTAGGGGAATTGGGTGGTCTATACCATCCATGATCCATTCTTGAACTTGCCGGGGTATGGCTGGGCTCCCCCCACCTGGGACGAGACAAGCTCACCTGTAGGTCCAAAGCTGTCAGCTTTCCCTTGTCGCCTGTGTTTCGTGTGTACTCCTCGATGGTCCAAGATGGTTGGCCCCGCTTCACCTCTGCCAGCTCGGTCAGGCGCATGTCTGTGTACAGTGGGTTGCTTTTCATGTGGGCCTTCAGGGAGGCAGGGTAGGGGTGAGGGCTGAACACCTGCTCCACCAGGTAGCCACTGTCTTTGGGTTGCTTGGGCAGCCGGTGCTGTGGGGGGATGTCGTACTGCCTGTCTGCCTGTGGAAGGGTACAGAAAAGTCCCAAAAAGCGGCACAGACGCCGCTGATTTCATAGCACAATTTCGCAGTGTTTCAGGTAGAAAAATATAGGTATTCAAAAACAAATAGGAAGAGAACAAACAAAATGGTGGATTGTGTGAAAGTGCAGTAAGGAGCTCCGTCAGCAACAACACAGAATACAGGACCAAGCAGGCTCAGGGCTCTGAACCACATATAAAGGAATATTTACAAGGTTGGAAGGCTTACAGCTAGGGGAATTTTAGTAGAAGCAAGAAATCCATTGCTTTCTAATTCAAGACACTCAGCTGCTCCAGGAGCCGCCATCTTGGGTGAGACCAAGCAGGGGAAGGATAAGAGTAGACATGGATGCCTGACAGAACCGCAGTGATAAAGGTGTGAGCATTCTTTTCTTTTAGTATCTGTTCATTGGTCCCTTGCTGTCTGTGCACCTCCATTCTGGTGACTGTAGGGGTGCCTGAGCTAGTGGGAACCCCAGCCCCACCCTCGGAGGGTTCTACTACGCATGCGCACAGATCTCCTCGAAATTTAAAGAGACAGTTTCCACTTAAAACCAAATGGCCACAGCCGGCCCTGAACTGTTTATGACTAGAAAAAAGGACTGGATGGGGATTGTGGATAGGGACAGGCAGACAAAAAAGGAAATAGGCCAAAAATTAAATCCTAAGTTATATAAAAACAACCAACAGTGAATTTCTCAAGAAGAAGAGTGAAAAGGGAAGCCATTTCCTGATCAGATCTACCTGGAGGCAATCAGAAAGCATGAAAAATACCAAAATACACACCCATCTAAGCATTAAGGGCACAGATAACCACTGAATATGCCCCCAAAACAGAAGCAGATGACCATATCAGCACATGTCCAGAAACGAGATAAAGTGACTGAGGCAAATGAGCTGGAAGTAGACCTACACTCCATACTGGAAGGTGGGCAGGCTTTGGAAATTCTGGAGAAGGAGTTCAGAAAAATGATTATAAAATGTATCAAAACACTATACAATGGAGTTGAGAAAAATAAGGAAGAAGTCAGGAAAGTGCTACAGGAACAATCAAATAAGATCGATACAGCATTGGAAACGATTAAAAATCTACAGAAAGAGGTCCAAATGATTAATAATAGAATATCAGAAATGGACAATACATTGAAAGGGCAAAGGAGTAGAATTGAAGAGATAGAAGCCAGAACTAGTGAGCTAGAAGATAAATCTCTCAACACTACTAAGATAGAAGAACAAATACAAAAAAGGATAAAAAAAATATGAAGAAGGCCTAAGATTCATGTTGGACAACATGAAGAGGAATACCTTAAGAATTACTGGCATTCTGGAACAGGAACAATCACACAAGTCCACAGAGGAGATAGTTGAAGAACTGCTGGAAGAAAATTTTCCTAAAAAAGTGAAAAGATAAGCATTCAAGAAGCTCAACAAATCCCAGGATGGATAGACCCTAAAAGACAATCACCAAGACATATCATAATCAAGCTCTCCAAAATCAAAGATAAGGACAGGATCTTGAAAGCAGCTAGTATGTGTAACATACAAAGGCAAGCAACATAGATTAAGCTCGGATTTCTCAACAGAAACCATGCAGGCAAGAAGGCAATGGGGAAGCATGTATAAAAACCTAAAAGAAAAAAACTGCCACCCAAGAATCCTCTCCCCAGCAAAGCTGTCAATCAAATACGATGGTGTAATCAAAACATTCCAGGATAAGCAGAAGCTAAGATTTTGCCAAAGCCAACCCTGCTATGAAAAACATGCCAAAGGAAGTTCTGTGGACTGAGAACCAACAAGAACAGAAAACAACTATAGAATGATGTATGGAGCAGCATCACTCTGAACTCAGTCGACAAATGGAAGAGTCAAGAACAGAATAAAATTATAAGAACAGAGGATCTGGGAGGTCAGTCTATGATCAAAACAATTACAATATGAAAGAAGGTAAATACAGAGGAACAGAGATCCAGGTAGTGAGGTCAGGTAGATTACAGGATAAAATAGACTGTCTTAAATGGAGTGTAGAACTAATGGAATATAAGGTAACCACAATGGGGTTGGGGTGGGGGGGTTTATTTTGGGTATTGGGGAGGGCAATACAAGAAGAGGGGAGGGGGCGGAAGAACAAGATAGATTAGGGAACACTGAGACAGGTTTGCATGGCCTAGAGGGACAGAGGTAAATAGTGTTGCATACTCAATCTTGGAACAACAGGGCTCTGGGATACAGGGATCTAGGTATAGCTTGAAGAGGAGAAATAATACTAAAATCCTTGGCTGCTTTATGAATATTAGTTTCCCTTGCCTACTATTGTAAAATAGACACTTGAGTGGGATATAAAAGGAATGTTGGGAAACATGATTAGAGAAAACTTGTAAGCCCGTCTTCAGCCTATAACTGATTGGAATACCTGAAAGGCCTCATGAAAAGTCTTTACAGAGTATAGGACCTTAGGTGGAATCCTGAGTCCCATCCAGAACCTTATGAGGTGGGACATTTCCACTAGTAAGGACAAGCAGACTGGAACAGCTACAGTGACAGAAGGTACATCTTCAAAGAAAGATCATCAGGAAAAACCCAAAACAAAAATGTCAGCATGACTGGCTACTACAAGAATAAGCAAGCTGTTTGCCAGGAAGACATCAAGGCTAGCAACCAAGTTCCTTCAGGACAAACTCCCCCTCTAAGACTGAAACTCAAAGGGAATACACAAATAAGCATGTAAGCTTGCTGGAGACCACATTGGTCTACTAGTGAGTGGAAGAGGGGGAAAGGCATCAATGAAGAAATGGGCTGAGTTCAACCGCAGTCCATTGAATCCCGTTGACCTGGAGATGAGAGAGAGAAGAGGAAGGGCTGGTTGGTCCAAAGTGTGGTGAGACCTGAGGACATTTGAGCCCATGAACAAGGATATAGCCACAGAGGATAATCAGAACTCTACCAGAGGAAGATTGAAAAAAAAAATTTATTTTTTATTTTTTTGG